GAAATGGCACAGAATTCTTGAAAATCAATATTTTTCGATCTCTCTTCCGGAGACTTTCAATAGTAATACCCAATTGTTTATTTAACCCTATTTGAATACTAACAATTTTTTATTGGCCTCCCAATTTTGGAGGTTTTGGGGGTTGTTGGCGGACCTATAAATTATAGTTACTATGAAAAAATAGCTAAATAAACAATTGAGTATTACTGTTGGGAATCTCCTGCAGACAAACAGAGTTTTCCAATCGAAAAATATTGATTTTTAAGAATTCTATACTATTTCTACGAAAAGTTGTTTTTTCTTCATAAAAAATACAGCGAAAACTTTGAACGCTTAAATTTGGGCGACTTCTAAATATTTATTTAATTCAAAATAAAAAATAGGAGTTCACTCTTTTTCGATATAGAACAATACTAGGGGGTTGGGAGCATTAAAATTCTGACTTTATTTTTTCACATGCATTTTTGGACCACCCTGGTATGCATACATAGCCTTAATTTAGAAATCAATAAGGCAACATAAGTTCGAAGTATTTTGAATTACAAGTTAAACAGAAAAAAATGAAGGAACAATTTTCACTTAGCGAGACGTTATATACGTGTTGATTCGCCTTCGACTATATACAGTTGAATCACTCAGAGTCATGCCAGGAGTCATGTCGGTGTAACTAACACATATTTATTATCACAAACACATCCAAACTGACTCATGAGTCAGACGCACGGTGTATGCCGCCTATAACATATTTAATTTTCCCCTTTCAATTTTCAATACACTCAAATTATTATAACTTGAAGATAAACTTGCTTGCTTTCAATTTTTCCCTTTCAATTTCGCTTTAAATTTTGATCAGTTGTTCAGCATTGGTATATGAATTTTGTGAAAAAAAAAATTTCTAAGCTTCTGCATGCTAAAATGTTATTCTACAATGGAAATAAAAATGGAAAATGGTCTTCAGAAGCTAGTTAGTTACATTGTTTTCAAATCAAATCTCAATGGCTCGAAGTTTTGATGATATTTGACAAGCAATGTGTGTGCGGAAATTGAAAGGCAAAACTGATTGTGTGTCGTCAGCGTTAATTGGATTCACCGATCTTAACAAGCTTAGATCGCTGAAACAACAATCCTTTGTCAGGGAAACTCCAGTAAGTAGGGCCGACTTTCTTCACCCTTCGCCGGGCGCAACTGATCTATGAGGCATAGCCAGCACATTTTTTACCTCGCCGTGCCCCTTTATACCGTTAACTTTGCTGACGCTCATAAGCTGCCTCTTTTGAAGTGCTGTATACAGCAAAACTACTCAGTTTTTGTTTGACTTCCAGAACGAGAATTTATGTAGAATTCGATCTCAGAAGCTCATTGCGCCCAAACTCCAAATTTATTAAATTCATTATTTTTAGAATTATTTTTTAAATTTTATTATTCATCTAAAGTAGCTATTATGTACATGTCCCAGAGTTGAATCTTTATGGAATGTTTGCATTTCTTCTAAACTATTTTACGTTGTATGTTTAACCTTTTGATTTTTTAACTTTATTTTAAGATTTTTGTAGTAGCTGCTAAATTTTGTGTCAAATAAATGGATTTTTACGAAAATGTTTACGTTTATTTCTTTTCAACATCCTTAAATGCCGTGCCAGTATTCCCTAGATGTACAAACAATATAATTGTTTGTTTAGTATGTGTTTTTAAAAGAGGGC